CCAGCGCTTGATGAGCTGGGTTGAATGTGAAATAAAAATATAGGAACTGTGCCCAATGGTACGTTATGGGCGGGCGATACCACCCACCTAGGTACATGGCGGCAGAGAGGATCTGATGCCCGTGCAGCAACTAGCACGCCGGCTTCGATTCGGATCTATGAGCCTTGACGGGAAAGGAAAGCAACCCGTCCATACAAGTTACAACTACCTAACTAAGCGAGTCCGCTTTACACATCCTCGACGACAGCTCCGAACAATAGCTCCGAACAACCCGCAGTAATTCAAAGCATATCCATTGCTAATGTGTGAGAGGCGGGGAGTGTTTTGAAAACTCGACGGGGTGAGCGAAGGAGGATGGGTGATGTCTTCCTGCTCCTGCTGCCGGCGCCGGCCCGGGAACGCGAACGGATCGCGTCCGTCAAGGAGGTGCAGGGTAGGTCGGTTGGTATGTGGTGGGAGGTGCAGGGCAGGACTCAAAACATGCGATAAGCAGTTTACTTACTGTAGGCCACTGAAGGTCAGCGACCCAAGGTTTCGCGCTGGGAAACGGAAAAGGGGCTCCACTGGCATAATGAGTAATATATGAAGGAGATCTCGCTACGAGTGTACCATGCCGTGTTATTTAATTACGGATGGAGAGGGTCGGTAGTGCCCAAATGGCATTGTCGCACACATCTGGACCATTGCCGGGGTTTCTACCGGCAGTTACCGGTGTCTTTGACGTTCCCATATGAGTAGCGGAGGATAATCCGGAAACGCCGTATCAAAGAAGAGGTTTGCAAATTTTACCGTAACATTGACATGCAGTTTGAAGCCTAGATAACAGCAACAGATAAATGAGATGGATGTAACTCGACTGGCGGGACACCTAAGCCGTCACTCAAGAGTCGCAGAGCGAAGAGGGCGAAGTAAGTTGGCTAAGTTGAGGTTGCGGGGAGCACGCGCCATGAAACCTGAAGCCTGGAAGTCCGGCGCCTTCGCCTTCATCGAGCTGATTGAGCAAGTTTGGATTCAGCCTTCCGCTAATGCACTCTGTAATATTCTCTGCGTCTGTTGACTGTTACATCGTGATCAATGGGTTGCTGCGGAGATCGAATCTGACTGAGGCGGTGCCGGGTTGGGCTTCTCTCGCAAGTTTTCTCAACAAAGGCGACCCTCCCCGCCAGCCCAAGTTGCCCAACTTGCTCTAACAAGCGCGCAGCCGAGGGTCCATGTAACCTGCGTTCCCCAACCTGCATGCATGAAGGCTGGGGAGGTCGGGCATCCCCGTCCGGGAGGCGGTTCCCCATCCCGATGGAGCGGCGGCATGCCAGATCCGGATCGGAATCCTCTGGACTGGTCCGGGCCGGGATACTACGCAAGGGCGCGTCAGAAACGCAAAACAACCTCTGCGAGATCTCTTGCCTAGGTGCTCCCGAGTCCCGAAGTTATATGAATGCTACGAGGGATTGCGACTCTAGAGATTGTTGGTTCATTGGGCATGAACTTGTGCGTGGGGGTCTTGCAGGTTTGACAGGGGAAGGGATATCTGAGCGGTGAGAGAGCAAGTTGAAAACACTATACGGACGGCTTGGGCGGCTTCAACTCCTGTGGTGAGCATGGCCAACGGGTCATTGTTTTTCGGCTCTTGTCAGTCTCGATTTGGCTCGGCGTTCTGCTCCGAGAATAGCACTCTCATTACCACCCCGTCTCCGCATGACACTAAGTTTTTATTTTCCGATTCGAGAATGCGGTTTCGGCTTCAAATTGAAGATATGCTGATGATGCCGATCCGTGTCATGCTATTATGTTTACGTCTCAACGGACCAGATGTCCTGGGTTTCAACTCGGCCCGTTTCGAGCTCGTTTCACGATGACTTGAGTGGCGACCAGAGAGCTGAGTGGGATGAGGGAAGGGAATCCGGGATATCGTCCCAAGTGAATACCCGGGGAAGGGACCCGGCTGCTCGTCCCGAGACACCTTCAAGGTACTCGTGAACTTTGAAGGGCCTCGGGGAGATACCAAGTTCAGTCCGGATCCACTTAACTGCCAGCACACGATGCATTTTCTGCCATTGTCTGGAGAGGTTGTGAATTGGTCAAGAAGTCATAGCTCGGGGAAACACAGAAAGAAGAAGAGAGTCTCAAGAGCTGTAACGAGGTAGATCGAAATCAAGTACG